TGATACAAATATCAATGATTTTTCTGGAGCGGCAAATAAATACTGATCGAAACTAAAGGAATTTCTCTAAAAATCAACCACTTCCACGCTAGGGCATACTAGTAGGAAGTAGTGTATCGAAGTTGTGTATTGGAAGCAACTGTCCAAAAGTCGGAAAAAGCTGCCAAAGCACGAATGTCAGGTCTGACTATCGAGTGCTTCGATGATTTGCAACGAAAGCAGCAAGGCGGAATAAAAATTTCTATTGGAGTGACATGGCCTCAAGAATGGATACGGCGGCTCGTTTAGATGATAATAGGAAACTATTCCGCTTTCTTCACAAAGCAACTATAATTCGGGGAACGATCAGTGAAATGGTAAGGGACATCAATGGCGTGCCAGTCAAGAGTATTAAGGATCGCCTCATAAGATAAAAAGAATTCTTTGAGGCCAAACATAACCATGAAGCACCATCTATTGCCCCTGATATAACTGATACGTTTGCTGAACCATATGCTTGCAAACCCCCGAAGAAGGAATAATATCTATTATCCATAAACTTAAGGCCAATAAGACGCCGGAAGAAGATGGTCTTCTTGCTGAACTCTTTAAATGTTGTCCATCGTCCTTCATAACGCACCTTCAACAAATGCATGTTTGGAAAGAAGAGATATCACCAGATGACTTAAGTAAAGACTGATTGCAGTTCTACTCCCCATTCTCAAGAAAGATGACAGGACACATTGCGACAATTATCGAACAATCAGCCCACTAGACGTCTTAAAAAATTTTTGCTTCCCTTTTACTCAACAGACTTATGGAAATACGGCATAGCAAGATGTGCCCTAATCAAGCTGGATTCAGATCTGGGAGCACTTGTACTGACCAGAATTCATGTTTAAAAGGATGTTGGAACATCGCTTCAGATATTTGCAACCCACTGATACGTGTTTCATCGATTTTGCGGCTGCCTTTGATTCAGTCGATAGAGCGGCGCTTTGGAGGGTGATGGAATGTGACGGTGTTTCAGAAAAGATCATTCAACTCATAAAAGCATTTTATGAGCGTACGTCGGCGCAGGTCAGGGCTGCGCCCTTTCCTTTACAGTATTCAACTATGCGATAGACTGGATAATGGACACTGCTTGTCGGCACTCAAGAGATTTCCGAATTAGTCCAGAGCATCGTATCACAGATCTTGAATACGCTGATGATGTAATCCTTTTTGCTGACAATTATAACGAAATGCAAGTAATGCTAAATAATGTGTCAGGCAATGTAAATAAAACGAAAGTCTTTAATCGTCCTATATGCAAGAAGCTGATAAAATGCCTCTTTTTATAATTTCTTTGCCGAATGAGCATGTACTCGATTTTAAATACCTTGGGTCCACTCTAATACCAAATAAACAGGCAAAAGATGATATTATAACTCGGATCACGGCTGCTAAAAATGCGTTCTTCCGATTGACGAAACCTTCATGGAGCCGTCGTGAAATTACCACAAAAACGAAAGTTCGCATCTATATTGCCATGATCCGTTCGATTTTACTATATGGTTCTGAGACATGGCCAATGAGAGTGGAGGATATTAAGAAGTTAGCAGCCTTTGACCACTCTTGTCTAAGGTATATTTTACGGGTTCACCGAGTGGAGTGAAATCTCATAAGATCGACCATCCACCTTTGTTCAAATACCACTTGCATAAATAATGTTATCACAGAGCGTCGCCTTCGCTGGTTAGGGCACACCACAGGAGTTGACGCATATTTCGTTATTTGCTAAACTGTGTGAGGGTTGGCGTCAAAAGCGAGGTGGGCCAATCAAGACCTGGACTGATACGGGAGAAAAGATTTTGAAGAATATAGGTGGACCAGCAATATATAGACTTAGACGATGGAAAAAGGAATGGCTTCCATTACTGTCGAAGATGGCATCAGTCTGCGCCGCTTGGAAGCGTCCTACCCTTGTAGCCGTTGGAGTCAGCCTAACCAGTAATGGTGAGAGCTGTTAGAAGAAGAAGAATACAGACGATTAATTTAGCTTCTTTACAGGATGATTTAGCGACTTGGCTTCAAGAAAGGAATTTCTCTTTTCATCAATAAATGTAAAGTGCTACATACTTCACAAAAAAGTTCAATACACCAAAAAATATATTAGATATTCATTTTTTGTTTGCTATATTGTCATCTAAAAGTTTTGTTTTGTTATTTGTTTTTTTTATTTCCTCTTTTTATTTTTATTTAGCATATAATCTTCTTAATTCAATACTGAAATAAATATTGAAAAAACTGAGTACTTAGTAGAAATGTAGAAATACTTCATCAAGAAAACCTTTGAATAAGTCGACCTCCTCAAACTATGGAATGTGCTCAGAAAAAGGGAAATCACAGAAAGTCTCATTCTCTTTGACAGAAACTTATATGAACTTATATACAGAACAGGTGAACACGATTCTGATAGATATGGAAGAAATAGACTGGTTCCATATTGACAAAGCAGTACGACAATGATGCCTGCTTTTCTCTTTTTCAATCTATATGCGAAATATATATTAAGAAACGCTAGTTTGGAAGAGACGAGATAAGTTTGAAATAAGAAGAAAATCAACAGCCTGCATTATGCTGATGACAGCCTTACCGCGATAATCGGAAATATGAAGAGTCCAAGTTTTAAAAGACAAAGAGTACTGCGAAAAAATTGGATTAAAAGGACTAAAAACTAAATATAATAGGGTAAATTATAATAGATAGAAAAATCAGGTTTAAAACTGAATGCATCGAAGTGATGGATAGTTTTCTGTTTTTTAGGATCAGTAATAAAGGAAGCAGTCAAGAAATAGCAGTTTAGTAGTCATGAAGATTCTAAGATTTTTATTTGAGCATATCCCAGTAAATTTGACCGACCAAGAGATTCAAATGCCGTAATGTGATTCTGCTTAAAAAATATGCAAACCATGGTCTTCCCTGTGATCCTCTGGTATGCAAGGAAGCAAGATAGGACGAACTTTGGTAGTCAAATTAACAAATCAAGCCAGTGTTCTCTTTCAAAGCATGAATCATCCTACTTTGATCATATTATGCGAAGACCCAGTCATTTGGAAAAGGACCATTGTTGGGATAGTACAAGAAAAGAAAAAAGATACTACCTGCTACAAGAAGGATGGATTCAGTTACAGAGACAATGATTGCTCCGTGGAAGGATGAAAGATGAAGATAACGAAAGATCACAGATAGAAGGATAGATTTGGAGATCACCTCCTCATATAATCAATAGGAATAGGAAAAAAAGCCAACTTGATGGCAAATTATCAATTATAAATTAGTTTCTTTGCCTTCTGTGCTATTTTACTTGGTTTTCAGTTAATAAGCTTAGAATCGTGTAATATGGTTGAAGCAATTGACTTTGAAAATATGGCTATGAAAACTTTCATTAGTCGTAAACCACTGGAAGTCAAGCGAGAAATCAAATAAGTTTCGATGTAGCTGCAGATGTAGCAGAGTCTATAGGCATAATCTATAGGAATATGAAAATCTAGTTCGAGGTAGGAAAAAGAAATCTTTAAGGAAATCTTTATTTCAATAGATTTCATGGACATTCTGAAAACGCTAGTTCACTGATATAGTTCATTGATGTTAAATCAAAATTTTTATTCGAATATATACCAGTAAATTTGATTAACTAAGCTTGTTCGCGTGCGTGCGTCGTTGTCGCTTTGGACAGGGGCAATAGCCAGCATCTTCACCGGGATTTCCAGCAAAACCAAGAGTGCCAGGTGTTCCAGGATATCCTTTTTGACCTGAATATATTTTCAATCGCATGTGATCACAAGTATCTTATTTACGGTATGACTTTATCTAAACGAAGCAAATATCTGTTTTTTAGAAAATAATACTAAAAATTCGTGAATAAAAAAATGATGATTACTTTACCTTCTTGACCAGCTTCTCCAGGTGGCCCATTGGGTCCTGGTTGTCCATTATTTCCAGGATTCCCAGGAGGCCCTTTGAAACCTTTAGGTCCAATAGGACCACGTGGGCCAGGCTCGCCAGGTGGGCCGGGAAGCCCACGAACGCCATCTCTCCCTGGTGGTCCTGCCAATCCATCCTGGCCGACTGGCCCTGGTTCGCCATTGTCTCCTGGGTTTCCGATTGGTCCAATTTGGCCAAGATGACCCACCAGTCCGTCAGGGCCAGGCATTCCCTATAAAAATCTTTGATTGAAATATAAAAATCATTTCAGTATTTCGTCCTATATAATAAGTAGGCCATATATATATGACCATGTTCTGACAAAATAATCATAATAAGGGAAATAATAAGGGAAATAATGGACCTCATGACCAGGCGGTCCAGGGACGCCTGGATAACCAGGATAGCCAGGTGGTCCAGGTGGGCAGACGCGGCAAGACTCTAGGTCTCTTGCCTCTACAGGTAGTGCAATTCCTGGCAAACCCGGTGGCCCTGCTAGCCCTGGTGTACCTGGTGTTCCATCTCTACCATCTGCCCCAGGTCGTCCACTCGGACCAGGAGGACAACGGCCAGTTGTTTTGCAATCTGAAAAAAAATAATAAAAATTGCGTAGAATTGTTTGATATTTTGAAAAATCAAACATGAAAATAAATTTTTTTTAATAAAAGGATTCAAAAAAATGAACATACTGCATCCAGGAGCTATTTGTCTAGTAATTCGACTTTTAGGTCCTTCTTTAGCTCGTATTTGCAACAGATCGGCCCAAATTTCGTTCTGGAAATAAATCTTAGTGTTAAGTTAACCTGTAGTTGAATTAATGAGTTATGAATTGAAAAAAGACTGAACTTCGCAAGCCCTTAGCTCGCATCTTATAAGTCTTCGTGTCATTTATGCCATTTATAACATAAGACTTGACCTTTTTCTTTTTCTTTTTGTTATTTTATTAATATTTAATATTTTAATCAATATTTTGTTCGATAATTTTTGTTTTTTTAGAATAGTTCCACTAAGTGAATTTTATTTTTTTGATCATCGAATAGAAAATATTTCATTTTCATTTTCGGAATAAAAAAACTTCAAAAGTTAAAATGTTATTTGCCAAAACTTCTAGCAAAATGAAATTTGTTGGAAATTTAGCATTAAACATTTTTGCAAACAGCAAATAGCGGCTATATTTTAGAGTGTGAATTGGGTGATTTCCTGGTAATTTATAAGCCTGAAATTTATACCTGCATAAGATTGAATTCGTCGATATGTGCAGCCAACTTTTGTTTTGCTAGAATGACAGAATTGAGGAGTGCATATATTTGATATGCGATAACAGCAATAACTAGAGTCGAAAAGAAAATACTAGCAATGGCAGCATTCTTTGTCCACAACATAACGCACAGAAATGGTCGATCTGTACATCGACGTGTAAACTGCTATTTATGATGATGAAAAATTGCCTTAGGCATGAAAACTACTATTAGTGCATCGATGCCCAGAAAAACTCGTCCAAATCGTTTAACGCGATAGATAAAAACAGGAATCTATTCACGGACCTTCTTTAGAGGCATTTGTTTGCATCATAAATTTGTAGTTCCTGATTTAACATTAAAGCAAAACAATGGAAAAATGTCGCAGAAAAATGAAAAATTTTAAATTTCAAAACTTTTTTTTAAAAAATCAATGGCTGTCGATTGCCTGAATTCTACACGAATTGAATTCTTTTTGTGTCCCTCATTCGATTATTGACTAATTGTATAATAACATTTCTAAAACGTTTAAACAATTTAAAGAGCCTTTTGCCGGGCCAGAGAAAACATATATATGAGAGCGAAGCTAGGAGTACCAAAGTGCCAACAGCATAGACGTAATAGACATTAAAGATTGGATGAAAATAATTCATTCATATGAAATCGCTTAAAATAGCTCGAAAATTTCAAGTTTTAAGAAAGATAATCAAAAATTGATTCTGGAGCAGACTATGATCTCGTGGCTAAAAAAGATTATTAGCGCTCATTATTTCTAATTAAGTTTGCTCCACTGCCTCTAAGTATAATGAATTTTCTAGGAATTTTTTGTCGGTGAAATTGCAGCGCCATTCGGGTTTTTAAATGCCGGTTGCATAAATTTATTTACTTTCCAGTTATTTGATATATAAGAGTTTGATATATTATAAAATTGTGCTTCAGTCACCTAATACTGGAGATTCTACTGTTTATGAAAAATCCAATGAAACTTAAATAGATCAAGAAAGAAGAGCCTTTTCTGTAAGTCCTTTCAGACAGGTGACATCGATAGGATAAATGATCATCTTTGGCAAGTTTACAAATAGAAATCTCATGTTTCTGTGCAATTTTAATGGTGAAAATTTTTGATCTAATCACATTTAATGATAGGATACTAAGATTTTAAAGAATTCTTCTTTAAAACATTATTCATGCATTTAAAAAATAAAAAAAATAAGAAAAAAGGGAAAAAAAGTTATCGTTGGAAATAATTTTTTTGTTGATAAAATTATCTCATTTATTTTTTAATTATTTTTCAAATTAGATAACAGCAAATGATTATTTGATTATTTTTTAAGCCCTAACTCCCGAGTTCCACCTTTGGCAGGAATAATCTTCGAAAATCGAGTTCTGTTTTCAATTTACTGGTATTTTTATCACCAAGTGATAGTCTCGGAAAATTTGTTTAGTCCGATTAACCAAAAGAATGAGCTGTTCTTGAATTTAATTGGATTTTTCTTGTATTTCTTGCATTGCGAGAATTTTTGAATAATATTAATAGGCTTCTCAAATTGTCGTCTTGAGAGTTTCAATTCCTGTCTCCGATGGGAGTTAATCTGTCATAAAAAGTTGAAGATGGTGTTGTCAACCTAATTTCTATTTCTATCTCTGATTGATCCCAGGCGGAAATTTCCTAAATGCATACAACCGATGAAACAAGCCAAATTATGAGTTGATGGCTCAGTTATTTATCTGATATATTTCAAGAATGGAAGAACGAAAAAAAGCTAAAATTGGATCCATTAAAACGAATAATTTATGTAAAAAAGGTAGGTTAAAACAAAAGTGCTTATAAGCTTATAAGCTTATTATTTGCTCTTAATATTGGCTATTTCCTCATTATTTTCTTATTAATAATTGAAAAAAAAGGCGAAATTTGTCAGTTGGATAATTTTCAATAAATATCAAATTTCTTCAGTTCATAAAAATCCTTATTTTGAGTTGAATATCAAAAATTCTCATTTTTTAATCGAAAGTTTAAAATATGCGCTTATCAAAAAATCGCTTATCTTTTAAGATATGAAAAAATATATGTTATTTTTATTATTATTATATTTTATTACATTATATATTTTTATTATTATATTTTTATTATGTTATTATTTTTTCATATATATAAACATAAATTTCGAAATTTATTTTATTCGTATATTTCCTAATTTAAAAAAATATATAATTGGGGACATTTTGTGCATTTAGAGAATTTTTTTTTGAGATAAATAATCGCATAAATAATTTATTTGGCAATTAATTAATTTATGAAAAAAAAGTAAAAAAGAACAATGAAAATTGAGAAAATAGAGAAAAACTCCGTTTTATATCAATTTTTTCAACTTTATTAAAAATATGAGTATTAACTCATTTTTCTCTCTAAAAAATGATGAATTCTCCCTAAAGAATCATTATATGCAGTTCGATGATGGATTTGAAACTATTTATTTATTTCTATCTGAGAAATTTATTTGTTTTATTAATTTTGCCTTTGCCTTCGATTCAACTGATAGTATAGCGCTTAGGAGGATGATAGAATGCGATCATATTCCATAGATTCAACTCATTCGATCGTTTGAGTTATAAAGGCACTTTACCAGCATACATCTTCATAAGCCTGCATGTGAAAGTCTTTTTGAAATAAAAACTGTTCACACAGGCTACTGCTTTCCTCCTACAATATTCAATTATACGATTGGTTGGATTATGGATAATGCTTGTAGATATCCAAGGAGTCAACCCAGACTATAATAGTGATGATGTAGTTTCGCTGAAGCATATTGGAGCAAAAGCATGAAGTTGGATCAAAAAAAATTAGAGTAAGAATCAATATAAATATGAAGAAAATAGAAAATCTTTTTATTTTAGGTACCAATGGCATCACGGGTTGAGAAGTAGTAAAGGTTATATCTTATACCGAATGGCCAAGCGAAAAACAAAGTTACTGGCCAAATAATCAGCCAAAAATGGGTTCTTTCGCCTGGCGAAACTTTTATGGAATTGCTGCGAAATTACCATTAAAACAAAATTGTTCGCATCTATGTAGCTCCACTAAGCACGATTTTATTATATACCTGCAAAATATGGCCAAAGAGAGTGGTCTGTATTAAGAGTTACCTATTTCGGACAAATCTTATCTAAGTCGCATTTACATGGCTGCCAGGCAGTCATATAAAAATTATACAGAATTGCATCTGCCTATGCTCAAACATTATCTACAATAAAGTATCGTTTACGATGGTTTGACCATGTTCTCTTCAGCTAATCGCAGGAGCTGGTGCATATCTGGCTTATTTACTAAGCCTGAGTACGGCAGCTTTGCCAGTGAATCATTTATTTCAGATAAGATTCAATTATTCACCCACATTTCACTTAAGAGTTTAAAGAATTTTTTCATTTGTCATTCTCTTGAGCAGTTCGATCTTTTTTCTTCGTCAATAATTCATTGTTTCTTCCAAATTATATTATGCTTCCATAAATGAATAAAACAAACACATTATTCATCTTAGTGTAAAAGATATTCTTCTTTAAAAATATGTTGTTCTTATTCTTTATACCTCGTTTGCAACCCATTGTCACATGTTTCATCGACTTTGTGACTGCCGTTGATTCAATTGATAGAGAGGCGCTTTGGAGAATGATGGAGCGCGATGATGTTCCAGAGAAGATCATTTGACTCATAAAGGCATTTTATAAGTGTATACTTCGGCTGGTCTATAAGTGTATACTTCGGCTGGTGTATATGGGGAACTGACAGACTCCTTCGAAATAAAAATTGATGTCCGTCAAGGTTGCGTCCTTTCTCTTACAGTATTCAACTATGGGATAGACTGGGTAATTGACACCGCTTGTCGACACTCAAAGGATGTCAAAATCAGTCTAGAGCATCGTGCCACAGATCTTGAATACGCTGGTGATGTAGTCCTTCTCGCAGATAGTTATGACGAAATGCAAATAATGCTAAATAATGTGTCAGGCAATGCAAATAAAACGAAAGTCTTTAATCGTCTTATGTGCAAGAAGCTGATAAAATGCCTTTTTTTATAATTTCTTTGCCGATTGAGCATGTACTCGATTTTAAATACCTTGGGTCCACTTTAATACCAAATGACCAGGCAAAAGACGGTATTACAATCCGGATCACGGCAGCTAGAAATGTATTCTTCCGATTGACGAAACCTTCATGAAGACGTCGTGAAATTACCATAAAAACCAAAGTCCGCATCTATGTAGCCGTCATTCGTTCGATCTTACTATACGGCTCTGAGACATGGCCAGTGAGAGTGGAGGATATTAAGACGACATCTGCCTTTGACCACTCTTGCCTAAGGTACACTTTACAGGTCCGTCGAAAGAACAAAATATTAAATGATGGCATCCACCCCTGCGTCCAAATACCTCTTAATACTATTATCACAGAATGTCGCGCTGGTTAAGGCATGTTTTCAGTCGCCCACTACAGGAGTTGACGCATATTTCGTTATTTGCTAAATCCTGCGTCTAAGGTGAAGTGAAGCGAGGTGGGCCAATCAAAACCTGATATGGTCAGAAAAGATTTTGAACGTATAGGTGGACCAGCAATATATGGACTTAGACGATGGAAAAAGGAGTGGCTTCTATTATGTCGACAATAAATCAGACCGCGCAGCTTGGAAAATTACCCTCGTAGCCAATACAGTCAACCTAACCAGTAATGGTGAGAGCTTTTAGAAAAAGGTTTTCTTTATGCACTAAAGTAGAAGAACATAAAATTTCTTGAAATTTTTTTCAGTGATCTTTTAATCAGTACTTCTAGGAATTTTTCTTAATTCGCAATAATAAACATAGTATAAACAATAATAGAAATGTTATTCAACATAATCTTTTCTTCACATTTGACATAAATTTGATATAATTGATTTTTGCTGACTTATTTATTATCAAGTAATGAATAAATTCGATCATTTATTTCGAAGGTACATGTAGATATGAAAAATTAAAAATAAATGGTTAATTGTTCATCGCTGCTAGCGGTTAAACGATGTTAGTACGGTTAAAATTTGGTATATAAGGCTGCTAGTATTATAATGACGGTATTTTATGTTACAGTTTTATTTTTTAAATTTCATTTTTTCATC